AAAAAATTTGTTTCTGAGAAATTTTCTCTAAATTTTTAGCTTCTTTTTATTTTAATTCAGAAAATTGAATTTATAGAACTTAAAATATTATTTTTCTCCTATCTTAACTTTTTTTCATTTTCTTTATGTTAATTAAACTTGTGTTATTTCAATTTTTTTAGTTACTTTCGATTTGGTGTTATTCTTATTTAACGAATATCTTTTATTTTATTTAATTTTTGTTTTAGAATTTAATTCAATTTAATTTTATTTCGATTTTTTAAATTTATTTTATTCTCTATTCATTTAAACTTCTCTTTATTTTTTTTTACTTTAACTTTTTTATGATATTTAATGTACTATTATTTTATTTAATACAAATTAGTTAAATTTAATTTAAAGGAAATCGTGGTCCAATTGTGATCCCCAAAACAAGAAAGTATTCGCACACAACCTGGAAATGTTTCGTGTAGTAATTGAAGTGTGTAAATATCATCCAATTTCGGGAAAAAGAACTAGGTTATCATTTCGCAATAACACAGTAAGAGTCGCTGCTTGATCAGCCTCATTTTCAAAAAATATACTCCAATTATACTCTCAGCCCTAAATCCACATGAAATTGTGACACGTTGTTGATGTATTTGTTTTTCGTCAATAACATGTGGTTTCTCAGAACCACAAGAGCGGAAAACCCATTATTATGAAAATTCATTTCATTATTTTAGAAATATTTTTTAACAAAAACGGCACAGCGTTTTTTGGTGTATCGCTCCATTATTATTAAGCCTAGACTATGTTTTTCGGGTTGTCAGCACTTTACTATATCAATGGTGGCAAATTTAAACCTTGCGTTAAAACAGCACTCTTTAAAGGGTGCATGTAGCATTTATAGTATAATTTATAATAAATAATGACATTGGTTTACAAAATTTCCTTTTTGGTCAGATGAAAACTCGTACCAAATTTTGAATGTACTGAAGCCACTAAATATTAATAGCTGAATGAAAAAAATGGCACTCAGATTTTCTTGCGACAGCAACACATGTTTTTCTTAAAAAGTACAGAAATCGAAAAAATACTAATAATTATGGTAAATATTTTTTTCTAGAATGTGTTTTTTAAGCCAATTTCGTTGAAAGTGCGTCTCCATAAAGGAAATGTCCTAGTGCTACATATCTCTCATAGAACGCAAAAATTGGCCGCAAAGAAATTCAGATAAGATTCGATCTATTTCATATCGTCACCTAAAATTCAAAATAACGTACCACTTTTCATAAGTTTACAAGTGAAGGACAAATTATATAACAGAAACCACTGCTATTAAAACAAAATTTGAGTTTTGGTTAGAAAGTGGTTATATATTGGTTATGTGTGATAGCTGAAGCTAAAAATCTTATGCTACATTTATGTAATACTCAATTTCAATTTTTTTGATGATATGTTGTTTGGCATTTTATTTGACGATATATATTTTTAAGGACAAATTATACCCCAAAACTTTTTATGATATTACAGGTTCATTTATTAAGCCTTTGTAATACTCCGATTTATGGTTAAGTGCACAAAACATTTCCAGACGAATTTTACTGATCATTCAGTATTTTTAGGGTTTTGACCCAAACCGACCAACGTTCAAATACAATCCCATTTGAAGGAAATAATGAATATAAAAACCCACGAACTTTCTGTTTTGCGAACCAGATTTGAATCAAAATGTCGCAATTACAAGGGCCAATACGAAGTCCAATCGAGTTTCTCAATTTCTTTTTCACTTTCAGTAAACCAAAGCCCACCAACACAACATGCAGCCCAGCAAATATGTGGGCCTTGTGGCCGACTTGATGCCCAACATTCGTCTTATGAAATACTCGGGCTTATTTATGCACAATTTCACCGGCGGTTCAGGGCTCTTCAAGAAGATTTACTCGTCCGTACACTTGGTGTTGGTTCTGGTGCAATTTCTGTTGATACTGGTGAATTTGGCGTTGAATGCGGAGGAGGTGAATGAGTTATCCGGCAACACGATTACGGTGCTCTTCTTCACACATAGCATAACGAAATTCATCTATCTGGCCGTGAGTCAGAAGAACTTCTACAGGTGAGTACCAAACAACAACTTTTAATATAGTCTACTACTATATATTAGCCGACTAAATGGATTAGCATAGCGCTGAGTTGTATAAATTTTTGTAATTGCGAAATAATGCGAACTGGTGGCTTCAATTGACGGCACCACGGGGAGCTAAACGTAAGAAATAATCCGAGCATTTCAATGGCGAATTCGCTTAGTTGAAATGTAATGGCGCGTGACACAGCAGGAGCGGCAAGTGGCGCTTCCGGCGACGCGTGAACTCGTTTAATTAGCCGCACAATCAAGCGCATCCAATCCCGCCTCCGCCAGCCGGTTATGGCTTATTGTGCGCGTGTGCGTCCACTTTAATTGCTTGCTATAAAATTCATTGCATTTTAATTGCAGAACATTGAATATCTGGAATCAGGTAAATTCTCATCCATTGTTCGCCGAGTCGGACGCACGCTACCATGGGATCGCCCTCGCCAAGATGCGCAAACTATTCACCTTGGTGATGCTGACGACCGTCGCCTCGGCTGTGGGTGAGTGTCGCATCGGCACAAAAGAATTTTTGATTAGTTTTCGCTAACTTGTGCATGCATATTTTCTATTCATTTCAGCTTGGACCACCATCACCTTCTTTGGCGAGAGTGTGAAGTTCGCCTTCGAGAAGGAGACCAATTCGACCATCACCGTAGAAATCCCGCGTTTACCCATCAAGTCGTTCTATCCGTGGAATGCCGGCGCGGGCATGTTTTATATTATAAGCTTCGCTTTTCAGTGCTACTATCTGCTTTTCTCCATGGTGCATGCGAACTTGTGTGATGTACTTTTTTGCTCATGGCTGATTTTCGCCTGCGAACAGCTGCAACATCTAAAAGGCATTATGAAGCCATTAATGGAGCTGTCAGCCTCGCTGGACACCTATCGGCCAAATTCGGCGGCACTCTTTCGTTCATTATCCGCCAATTCGAAGTCGGAATTAATCAACAATGAGGGTGAGTTAAACGTCCAAATGTTGGAAACTAGACGAAGGTTTGATTGTTCTAAAAAGAATTCGAGGTTAAGGTGTGAGCTGAGCTGTTTTATAGCTTGAAATTGACGGATTTCAAACATACTGGAAGGAATTTGAAAAGAAATGCCCAGACTTCGGGAGGACCTTGTATAATTCTTTCACTTGTTCCTAGAAGGAAATTAAGAATGTTAGATATTGAATGAAATGTCGGTCTTTAAGTTTTTTGCAATACTCATTTTATTCGGATACTGAAAAAGTGAAATCTGTTCATAGAGTGAGCGTTTAATCAAGCTCTGGTAAATGAACAGAGCATGGTACTCCTTTTATTAAATTGCACAGGTTTGTTAAGGAGTGAATTTTTTTTGAAAAATGTAGAGGGTCGGGTTCTATATGGCTAACAGAATTGAATATGTGTAAATCTTGCAACAAAACTGGATCGGTGATCTTATTCAAAAGTATATAATGGAACGTCTCTCATACTTAATAAGATAAATAGAAAATTTGCTCAATACTTTCTTAAAGAACCAGAGTTAAATATAGCGATAGAATATCTGGAATGCGATTATCGCACAAAATACATTTAGTTCTTGTTTATCTGAGTGCGATCCGCATTTAACCCTGCACATTCATCCATGTTCCTTGCAGTGTATTACGTGTACGTTTGGAAAATCAATTGCTCTTCTCTGTAGAAAAAAATATTTTGTATTGAACTTTTCACTTCAAAGTCAGTTGTGAACATGGGGCTGTTATGTTTGTTTCTTTTACTAAAGTATATTTTATGCGACTTCTTCAAAGTCTATGCCCTGCGATCAATAGTCTATTGTTGGTACTTAGCCGCCCTCACCTCATCCAATCGTAGCGAGTTAAGGAAGCCAAACAAAAGGGCGCAATGGGGGTGACAAACCGTTCCGGATGTAGGGTTTTCCGGCGACGCGTTCACCAAGTACAGCGACAGTTTGTCGTTGACAGTAAATCAAATTGGTACATGTATCCGTGTAAATGGTCTTAATTTAACTTTAAGGAGGCTAATAACCTGTCCGAGCTTTTCAGTCAGATGAAAATTTACCGTGTTTCCCTCAGCAATGAAATTAAGTTTCCTAAAATTCATTAGCCGTTCGAACTCGACCTTTGATTTAGATTTTTACTTGGAACATTTGTATCATTACATGAGTTTCTTCGCTTCAATTTCAGAGAAGGAACCCACTGATCTGGACATCAGCGGCGTCTATAGCTCGAAAGCCGATTGGGGTGCACAATTTCGTGCGCCATCGACTTTGCAAACCTTCAATGGCATGAACGGTACAAACCCGAATGGTTTGACCAGAAAGCAGGAAATGATGGTGCGCAGCGCTATAAAATACTGGGTCGAGCGGCACAAGCACGTGGTGCGGTAAGTCACAGAAAGACAACATAACAATAGAGAATATGCACAAACTAAGTCGAGCACACAAACCTTTTCAATAGCAAGCCCACTATTCTTCCAAGCTTGTTGCACCACATTTTCACTCCGCTGTGGCATTTGGCTGGAACGGAAGCCGTTGATTGTGAAGGAAATTTAAATTTTCAATTTCAACTCATTGCCCCAATCGAACAAAAAACAAAAAAAAAAAAAACAGTTATAAATTGTTGTTGTACTCGCAGTTGTTGCTGCTGTTATTGCAGCAAGCAATGAACAGATGTCGGGCGCAAACTTCACAGGTCTCTGTCGGAAATTATGTGTCTACATAAATAATTTGTTGTTGCCGTTGCAATCACTGCAAACAGCAACAATCTGTGAGCACTCGCGCACTGTCGATATTTAAAAGATTTGCATTATACCGACTTGCAGCCTTACACACATACACATATACACAAAAACACTTCCCTACACACTTGCACTATCAGGTCAAACCCGTTCCGTGTGCGGCGCTGATGGCTCAGCTGATGTCTGGCACGCCGCTCAATGCAGAAGCTGCCCATGCAGCAGGCAAACAAAGGAACAACAACAAAACCAAATTGTGTTGTTCATTCATTTCCGTTTCCTTGACTCTTCAATTGTGGCACTTCCGCCGCCCGGACTCCGAACAAATTCGATGGTGTGCTGCTAACTGCACTTGCCTGTGCGCGCTTCGTGCTGATGATCCGCCATTTACTACTATAATTTAATTTTAGTGCACTTTAAGTAGTTGCAACTATTTGCATTAAGGATTTTGCTGGTTGGAATGCAATTTGATGTGTAGAGTTTAGTTGGTTTTTGATGGTGTACATCTGGTACACTATCATTATAATAAAGACTAATAAAAAAAAGCTAAGAGCAGCAGCAATCGTTATAGATCTCGCTAAGTCACTATGCGTAAAATGAATTCCTTTCGGTATACTTTGAAGAAGTGCGAATCGAACAAGTAACCGGTATAAATATGTGAAAAATGGTACAAAACGGTACAAATATGTGTGTGTGTCATAATCAAATACAGATAGGAAGAAGATATGGACCCTATCTCTGTAGAGAGTTGGTCACTAACCCCTCGTATTAGATATAACAAAGTATGGTCCGCTGAACCATCTCCGAGGATGCCGAATGATGTCAGATACAACAATATGTATCTGTAGGATAGTACGTAAAGTCAAAAGTCTGGCTTTTTATCACCGTGTTCGTAACTCCTTATTAGCTCAGCAATCGGATGGAAAGTCTTGCTGTGCCTTGCGACCAAACCTTATAGCCAAAGTGTGTTACAAAGCGAGAAGGGGAAGGAGATACCAAAAGGTTACTTCTAGTGGTGCGTCTGTCAAGTTAAGGTTTTTTTTCGAAAACAAGGCATGCGAAATGTGTCGCGATGCCCACCTTTTAAGATTGAGACAGGTGCAACCGCCAACCAGGAGTTTATTGATTGCCCAAAAGCTATTCGACGCAATTTTAATTAATCAGTTGCTGGTGGGGCCCGCAATCGCATTATCATTGGTGTGCTGGATGAGGAAGATGCCAATGCACCGTTTGCTCTTTGCTAAATATTTTTTGCAAAAATCCAAATTTCTGTGGGATATTCGACAAGTCATGATCGCAAACTGCAATCCAAAGGATTCAAATCTACACTTCCAGAAAGTCGAGCACCCGTAAAAATAATACTTTCGTGCAGAATTATTAATAGTAAGCTTCACATGCGATTATGATAGCTAAAATTATACAGGATCCAACAATTCAACAACTACTCAAGTGAACTTTGCCTGATATTTGACAACTCTTTGTTATAAAATTGTTTTCTTGCAAGCCGAAGTGACCATTTACGAACGGAAAACAGCCATAAAATATAGTTAACACCAGTGGAAGAGAATTTTTGAAATCTTCAAAATTAAACAAACCTTAAAGGTAGAGTTGACGCCAATAATAAAAATTGAAAAAACAAAAAAATATAAAAATTCTCAAAATTTGGATTTATTTATTTATTGGATTATTTATTGGATGCTTAATTCTGACATATTTGAGAAAGAGTTGCCATATATGCAGATGTGAGCAGAGTATTACAAAAATAATGTTCAACGCAGGTGGCTTAAAGAAGACTTCGCTAAAGTGCTAATATTATATATCACATAAGAAATTGATCCTGTTACTATTGTATCAAAAGTAAAAAAAAATTCTGGGAAGTCCAGAAAAGCCCTTGGTGAGAAAAACACCGAATCCGCTCCAATTACTTGTACTTGTATACGCTTGTAAAAAGTTAAAGTTTCTTCTAGAAAATGTTTACGCCCATCTTTCGCCTTCTGTTTTGAAACTAAATGTTATGTGGGGTATACCACACTGTATGATTTGTTAGTTAGGCTTATTTTATTTGTCTATGCAATTACACGAGCTTCGTATCTGCTAGTCATTAGTGCCTAGTCAGTTCAGTATCACTACCCAATAATATCCACACAAAAAGTCCTTACATCTGTTCTAAGGCCGTTGCTATTTCAGCTTTAATATTAGGCATTAATTTTAATAAACTGTTCTCAAATAGACAACAATATAAGGAGACCTTTAATATGCGCTGTAATTAGAGTCGACGTTAAATTATATTGCAACTGTGTAAGTATGCACTTAACCTTGAAATATTCAAACGGTATGTCAACAAATAGCCAATGGGAGTGCTTGCACATGGCTTTATGCTTTCATATACTCAACCGAATCCCTCCACCCATGTTTTTATTACATGTGGCTCGGCTCATTAAAAAGTTACAAGTTATAATTAAAGGTGGTTCGCCGGATTGAAATTCAGTGAATTAAATATTTATTTAAATATTTCGGGGGAATATATATGTATATATACTTGTATATGTATATATTACTCATACGCAGCGGCGAATAGAAGCCATAAGTACTGTAGAATAATATGCATGTTCAGTGGATCAAGTGAACTATGAAAGGTGGGCCATGCAAAAATAAGCGGTTGCGAAATATTTAAGAATATTCTGTCGTAACTGACCTAGACTAGTAAAGAGTACCAATAAAACAGACTTGCTGTGAGACCGAACTTTGAAAAATCGTTATAGGCATTCTCGACCTATATACACTTGTACAGGGTTGCCAATTTTTTTATGCAGAAACCTTATTTCGAAATAATATTTTAACTTTTTAATTAGGATTTTAGGATTAAAAAATTTAATTTACTATTCCGATATTGGGAAATTTAAAAATCCTTAAAAGCTGTATTTTCAATTTTCAGTTATAAGCTTGGTATTAGGGTTTAAAAACTTGAAAATGTATATTAATTAATTTTTTTTAACACATAATTTGCAACGCTGCTTATTGTTTATCGAATCGCCGAATTTTAACCCTTTTTACCTCATATGCCTTTTAGTCTTTTAGCTTGAAAATTTAAGAAATCTCAATGTTTCATCTGTAAACTGAGAAACCACGCCAATTTCCAAACAAAAAGTATAACGCAATTCTATATGAATCGAATTAGAGTTTCTTTCTCCAAGTTTTATCAGCTCAAATTATATTGTACAAATTCTCTTTTATTTCACGGTTTTATTGCATTTATTGCACTTTGATTTCAAACAGGTGGGAAGTATACACATAAGATAGAAGGACAGCCTTCATAAAAACGAATTGTTTTTCACTCAATTATTTCAATTCAATAACATTTTTGAATAAGTGGCAACTCATTTCAAAATATATTTTTATGAGGTAAACTTTTTCAAACCTTTGTTAAGCCGTTTAATTTCAACAATCCAGCACTCTTCTTATTTATTTCATGAAATTTTTATATGGATGGCAACTCAGCTTGAATGATATTTGCAATAGTACGCTATTTAATTTACGGCTCATCCATCTAATGCAATATCATTTTTCATTTATTCCATTAATTTTATTCAATAAATCTTTAAAAAGGTGGCAACTTTTTTTAATAATATTTTATACTGCATAATCTCTTTTAAACGTTTGCTATAATTTCAAAATGTTCTTTACTAGATTAATTTTATTCCAATTTTTATAAAATTAACTAGGTGGCAACGTCTTTTAAAATATATGTTCAGTATTTATTTCATTTAAATTTCCGCAATTTCAGGTTTTTAGTTATATTTGAAATATTTTTGACTGAAATGTTCGGCGCAGGTGGCAACATTCTATTATTTTTTAATTCTTTTCCAAGAATTACAAAAAAAATAAAGCAGGAATGTGTTGAAATAGTTTCAATTTATGAAGGCACTCTAGCAACTGTCTTCCATAAATGTTTCTTACTACCGTCATATTTGCGGTTGAATATGTCTGTGCTCAATGAAATTGCACTGATTTTACATAAATATCACTTAAACAATAATAAGTAGTTTATATGAACACGTAAGCATACGCAAAGGCACTTAGTCTTTTGCATGGACTTAATTGATTGCAAACTGACACGCGCTACTTAATCGATTAAGGCCCGTGACTTTGTAACTTTAACACATAGGCAGGCCTGTGCACACACGCACATGCAAACAGCTATCGCCGTAAATAATACATAATGTCATTAATTAAGCTCATATGCATTTAAGTATTTACTTAACGACATAACGGTAACATATGCTATTTGTATTTCAATTATTATGCATGATTTATTTATGCACACACTCGCACACAACGCCAACTATTATCAGCCACATTATTTATATAATGCATAAATGCAGAAATGTGTGTGTGTGAGTGCTTATAAGGCAATACTCAAGGCTCTAGCACCGTTATTTGACCACTATTTGAATACATGTAGTTAGTATTAGGATGACCGCTCTTTACCGCTATTGGCAGTTCCGACAAATGGGCTGCTTCTTGCGGAAAAAATTACATATTCAAAATTTTTATCTCAAAAATTGAGGGACGGTTTGAGAAAATAGAAGAGCAAACGGGCCGACGGAAGAGCGGACATGGCTAAATCGACTCAATTACATACATGCATATATGTTTTATAGTGTCTAAGGCTCTTAATTCTGCGTGGGACCAAATTTGTAGCAACTTTAATATACGCTGTAAAACTAAGAACACTTTTATATATTTATGTATATATGAACTTATAAATATGTATATACTTAAGTGCCTATGTCTTCGTTGGCTCCAGCAAGTCGCTAATCTTGGCAATTTGTTTGCAATCGCACTTTTCCAAAATATTTTTCTTTGATTCTCACGTTTTGCTTTCTCCTTTCGCCCCTGTCTTGTCCCCTCTTTCGTAACAATATGAATTGCACAAATTTCCAATTCCATTTCACAGATTAGTGGCAGCAATTGGTGACACTTACGGCGGCGCTTTGTTGTTGCACATGTTGACATCCACCATTATGCTGACGTTGTTGGCATACCAGGCAACCAAAATCACCGGCGTGAATGTGTACGCCTTCACAACCATCGGCTACTTGGGTTATGCCTTGGCGCAGGTATTTCACTTCTGCATATTTGGCAACCGGCTCATTGAAGAGGTGAGTATGGGGGAGGGCAAAATTATAAGGGATTACAAATGACAAATATATCACTAAAAGTTCTAATAAATCATAGGCATTAAGCAAATATACAGTTATGCTCCACAAATTATGTGCAGTTTAACTTATGCGTTTGTTTTGCTGCCTATAATTTAGCTAGTACCGTTATGTGAGAGGTAATGTACATATATAACACAGTTTACATTTCTAACTTTCATCAAGTTTTATTAAAGTAAGTATATCCAATTATTCACAAAATCTCCACATCGCACACATAAAAATGCAAAACTCCGCCTATTTTTCGGGAAATTGAATATGGACTTATGCTCCATATTCCTCTCCTCAACCCTCGATGTGAATTATTTTTTGCCGAAGTAATCATATTTAGTATTCCAGTATAATTTTGTCTATTTTCCAAGCAAAATTTTTAAGGCACTTTTTGGGCAAGGGGTTCTTCGTAACAGAAAGCTGTTCAGGTTAAGAATTCTATCATAAAATGTAAAATAGGCTAAATTTAGTCCGAGTTTGATTTTTTCACCCACTAATTGGATATATCTGTATATATGTATACAGTTCTAATACTGGACATACATATTACATACTGGCATAGTGTGCTTCGTATGCTCGTGTTGGGTTACTCCGACAATAGTTTTACCAGCTCAATACATGCCAATAAGTACTCGTATCACGGAACCATGTGCTCTCAGGTTGGGGTGAAGTAGTGCCTAAATGGATCTCAAATTCCAAGAAGAAGCCCGCCCTCTTACTACACAAACAGATTGATATTTGAATACCGATCGCACCAGTTAGTCTATGGGTTCAACAGCTGAACCCAAATTTGTAAGTCCATCGCCCTTTTTGTTTTTGATGATTTCTTCAGTGTTAGTCCATGTTAGATCCACGTTCCTACAAGTCTTGTTCTGATAATTTTAAGTTAAAGAAGTTACTCTTCTTTATGCAACTTTAATATCGAACTCGCCGATGAAAGATAAGATTGGTTTTCGCCATTTAGGCAGATCGCACATAAATTACCATCGAAATGCATTCAACAAATAACTTACAGCTTACCTTATCAACTTTTGCTCGCCATATATATTTCAACAGCTTAGTGGGCAGACCAAAGCCCTTTTTTTATCTATACAAATAAAGAAAAACTAAGTAAATCAACTGGCCACTTGAAAACTAAACGTTCTGACCAGAATATGGCGCTATTAGAATTAAATCCATACAAGTTTTAGTTAGCTTGAAACTTCAAAAGGTCTTTGCCAGTTTATATATGTTTTGATGATTAGTTTCCGGACACTGGCCTAGGAAAATCAACCATCAAGAATTAGCATTCCAAGTTCCGTCGTGTTGGAATGAACACCGAAGATGGAGGACGCCCAAGAGAGGTTGTTCTCGACCAAAAATTCTATTAAATACTTTTGGATGGCCGTGAAGTGAAGTTGCTCGAGACACCAGACCTTTAAAAATATCAACTGAACGTCTATATCATATAATTCACGAATATTTGGGTATGAGAAAGCTCTGTGCAAAGTGGATTCCGCGCGATTTCACTTTTGACCAAAAGCAACGACGAGTTAATTATTCCAAGTAGTGTTTGGAGAAGCTTAAGCATAATAAACCGGGGTTTTTGCGCCGATATGAGACAACGAATTAAACATGGCTCTATTGTTTCTCTCCGAAATTCAAGCAGTAGTCAATCGAGTGGACTGCACACGATGAACCTGATCCAAAACGTGAAAAACGAAATAGTTGGCTGACAAGGTTAAGGCGTCTTAATTTTGGGATGCGCTTGGAATAAGTTTTATTGACTACATTGAAAAAGGAAAGACCAGCAACAGCGAGTATTACATAGCGTTATTAGACCATTTGAAGGACGAAATCGCCGAATTTGAAGAAAAATAAAATAAATAAAAACGAATTTTGCCAAAAAAATTTAAATTACTTTGGTAGCCTCAGAAAGAAAGAGAAAAATATAAATTTAATTAATGGAAATTTCAAACACTAAATAGTAATGACACTTACCAAAATCCAAAAATTCTTCTGACTTAAAATTTGTGAAAAAATCCTTCTACCCATCACCGCTTTGTTGATTTCAAAGATCGATCAACTTTCGACATTTGTGTTCTAGACCCAGACCGATTCGCGGTAGTTCCAAAGAAGAGGAATGCAATACCCGTAGTCATTTTAGTTCAATTCATCCTTAAACTAACATTCGTGGAGACGGGAACTAGAGTTTTATGGAGCTATAATAAATCCATGCCGGAACGACCAAGGTGCAATTGTATGATTACAAATTCGAGATGTGTTGACTAAACTGACTAGGATACGAGAGAGAAGAAGTAGCAATAATTTGTTTCGATAATGTAGACAAATTTTGTTATACATTTATATGTCCAGCACTGTATGTATTTTCAATAGTAAATACATAGTAAATACATACATACATATGTATCTTCAATCACATTTTGCATCCATACAAAACGCTTACAGGAAATATGAAATTCTAAGAATTTTGTATAAGAAATGCTTGAAAGCTTTAAGCGCAGTCGTCTGCTAAATAGGAATGCAACCTAAGTAAGTGATTTTTCAACGCCACTAAAGAGTTGAATGCATTGGAATTCCCCATGTGGCAACGAAAATAGAAATCACAGTCTCGCGAAAAGTTTGATAAACTAATGAAATTACGAAAACAAAAATAAGCAAAATTTTGCAACTGGCGGAAGTGATGCAGATACGTGGGCGCACAACACTCCACAAGCAAGCAACTATGCGCGGATATGCACTCGACACACTTCCTCACAGCGAGTGTTCTAACTTTTTTCTAGACACTTACAGGATTTTCACTTTTCTGCTGTTTGTTGGTGAAAAAAATTACAATGAACAAAAAAATATATATGCATATTAGGGTGGTACTTGGAAATTAAATAAATTTTTATACTCTGAACAGGGTATATTAGGTTTGGCATAAAGTTTGTAACACCTCAGGGTAAAATATAAACATAAATTATCAGAAAAACGAACTGAGTCAATTTAGTCATTTCCGTCTATCTATCTGTCCGCCCGTCATCTTATATTTATGCGAACTAGTCTCTCAGCTTTTAAGATATCGATCTCAAATCCTTTCCTTTTCCTTCCAAGAAGGACCGCTATAGCACATATGTAGCTACCATACAAACTGAACGATCGAACCATCGAAATAAAGTGCTTGCATAGAAAGTTTTGTCATTTGATGAGATAAGTTGGCAAAATTTGGCATGGGTTATTGTTGGAGGCATTTTCGAGGTTATTACATAGTGTACTCTTATTCTAAGACAAGAAAAAACGGTAACTTCGGCTGCACCGAAGCTGATATACCCTTCACAGGTGCATTTCTTTTAGTAACTATTTGTTCAGTTTGTATTGGAGCTATATGCTATAGTAATCCGATCTAACCAATTTTGTCGGAGATTATATTATTACCTTAAGCAGTAATCCATGTCAAATTTCGTGAAAATACCACGTCAAATGCGAAATTTTCCATATAAGCCTTTGATTCCGATCGTTCGGTTTGTATGGCAGCTTTATGCTATAGTGAGCTGATATGAACAATAATTCACACAAAATTTCGTGAAGATATATTGTCAAATGAAGAATTTTCCCATGCATACATTTGATTCCGATCATTCAGTCTGTATGGCAGCTATATGCTATAGTATGCCGATCTGAACAATTTCTTCGGAGATTATATTTTTGTTTCAGAAAATAACCTGTGCCAACTTTTGTGGAAATACATTGTGAAATGTGCGAATTTTCCATACAAGAACTTGATTCCGATCGTTCAGTTTGTATGGCAGCTATATGTTATAGTGGTCCGATATCGACATTTCCGACAAATGAGCAGCTTCTTGAAAAGAAAGTGACGTTTGCAAAATGTCAAAAGGATATCTTAAAATCTGAGGGACTAGTTTGTATGTATACAGACAGACGGACGGACTGACGGACATGGCTAAATCGACTCAGCACAGCATACTGATCATTACTGATCACATACCGTTCCGGGTATAAAAATTAAAATAACTTACAACTATGTTCTAAGAGTTCCTTTAATGTTGGTGAGGATCATAAATTATATTTGTAGCAGTATGAGTTGGACAACAGGCTCACACTTTCAAGTTAAGTTCCTTAAAATGTTCTAGACCGACTTTAGCTTTCTAGAAGCTTATATAAAAAATACTTGTATGACTGAACGCTTAAGACATCTTAGTGAATAATAGAAACAAACGAAATTCTCTTCCAAAAATAATGTCATTTCAAAAATCAATTCGGTACTTTCCCCAACATATCCAAAATAATCATTTTCGCACTCCTGGTTGAATTTATATCGTTCAGTATGTGAGTAATCTTAAGAAAATTAGTTGGAAACATTCTCTTGCTTGTGCTCTTGTCAAGTTTTTATTTATAAAAGTAGACGTTGTCGGTATAGATCTTAAATTAACCCCAAAATAGGTATTCGATCTTTCAATTAAATTTATATCAGGCGCGTATATGAATATGAAAGACATTTTAAAGAAAAGAAATGTAGATTTTTTCTGAAGTCAAAAATTAATAAAATTGAGCCAGAATCGAAACTCCGACACCTGAATGCCACAACTCATGAAACCTGAGGTTCAAAAACTTTTACGCAAAAATTATAATCGCCGGTTTATGGACCACACTCATAAACTTGTTTGCGTGCTTATATCGGTTGAGCAAATTCCCTTGACTACATTGCAACTACGCACGACCAAACGCGAGTCTGTCTTCGCGCTTACTTGCGTTTTCAACGTCCAGAACAAACTTTATTTCACTTTCAGCGGCAACTTTTTATTTTGCAATTTTTCATTTACCATTTTTCGCATTTTATTTGTGTGTTTGTTTTTTTTTTTCTACTCTTTCTTGACACGATTACCCGCAGAGCTCATCCGTCATGGAGGCAGCCTATTCTTGCCACTGGTATGATGGCTCCGAGGAGGCCAAGACTTTTGTTCAGATCGTTTGCCAGCAGTGTCAAAAGGCGATGTCCATATCGGGAGCGAAGTTCTTCACTGTCTCGCTGGACTTGTTTGCATCGGTATGACATATTTTTATCTTTTCTTTGCTGTTTGTGTGCAATATTGTTATTGTTGTTATTGTTGCTATTGTTGTTGTCCCCTTGTTGCAAAGTGCTGTCGTATGCATTACAAGTGCTTGTTATGTGGTTGTTGTTTGTTGCATTGAATTTGCGGCTTCGCGGTTGTTTGTGGCAACTCGACTCCATGCAGGCTGCGCTGTCTGCCTTTGGCGTGTTTGTCGCCCTGCAAAGTGGCCAGTTGCCACTTCCGCAAGAAATTTATCTCAGTTTTATTTTGATTTCGATTCTCTCAAGTCTACTATATTTCAAATATATTCACACATTAAATGTCATGACATCTCTTTCGTTTTTTCTCTCTCTCTCTTCAAACAAAAAGGTTCTTGGCGCTGTTGTCACCTACTTCATGGTGCTGGTGCAATTGAAGTAGAAAATACTTACAACAACAACGTCAAAAGCAAATTTCTGCACCCATATAATAAGATTATAAATTTTTATTATGCCAACAACAACAATAAACAACGCAAAAAGTACATCAAACCCACCCAGTCGCAGCGCGTCAGAGGCAACATTCGCTTGAATTATCAACAAATTGGGCGCACCCTTCGGTTGTGTAATATTTACAATAACAACTATAAAAACATGAAGCAGTAAAAATAATGGAGAAATTTGGCAACGTTAACTTTTGCCTTGCAGAAAATTTGCTTTTAAAGGAATTAAAGCAGATCCTATGTCAAAGTACAGATTACAAAAACATTACGTATACTGACGGGCAAAATTGTAGCATTAGAAACGGCTTATTTTTTTTGAATGATCACCGGTTTCGAAATAATTATTTTTTCTTGTAGAATTTTAAAAATATTAATTTTAATAAAAAAAAACACAGCAAATATTTATAAATGCACATTAGGATGCATCCCTTATTATCCCAGTTGATTTTTTTAGCTAACTAGACTGAAGTGTTAATTTTAGCCCTAAAAATAGTTTCCTATTTAAACAAGTACTTTATATTCAATTTAAACAGTGCCTAGATCTTTTTACTTTCTCATTTATCTAACGAAGGATTTTTTGTTTGTCTCTCTTTCTCTCTAATTGCTAAAAAGTGCAGATATCTGAAAAAACCAGAGAGGCAAATTATTAGTACTTAAAAGCATATATTGAAACAGTTAAGACCTCCACTTCAACAAACTTTTCACGCAGAAACAGACATTGAATATAGCCTCTATAGATGAGTGCCTTATTTAAAATGTTTGTCTTCTTAAAGGCTGTGAGAAGTAGCCAAGGTCCTACGAAATAGACAACTAAAGAGTCTTATGAAGAGGTTTTAAGAACTTCTACACTTGCAACAAAAACATTTTAAGATATCGCGTGTTTCAGCTCAAATTTCAAAAAAAAAAAAAAAAAAATATTATTTATTATAATATTTATAAGCTTCTACTTATATTCAAATATATAGACTCTTTTGTGACAGATATGTATATCTGCCGTTTAATTAACTTAATACAACCACTTTCTTAAAACTATATACATACATTGTGCCTTTCGGTAAAGATAAATTACACTGAAAGCGATAACCCACATTAAGTTCAAAAGCTCGTTTTTGCTATCCTCAATCTTTTTAAAATTTATTGAGAGAAAAAAAATTATTGAAAATTGAGTTACAGCAAAATATAAGTAAGAAACTTTTTGATCGGTCCAACCAGTCTTAAAATACTATATATTTATATAAGAAACCTTATTCGCATTCCAATTAAACACTCTTTTCCACCTGCTACAATTTCGTTCGTCAGTGTGCCTATGACAAATTATATAAAGTGACCAAGCACTTGGAAAGCTTTTCATAAAATGTCAGCAAAATAAAATGTATAGGCAATTTTAATGATTTTGTGCAGAGTTTCCAGTGATTAACGTTAATTTGAGAATTTTATGTGAGTCGCATATTTACATACATACATACACACATACATATATGTACCTTAATATTTAACTAATAGTTTTATATATTTTTAGAAAATCGTTTTGATGTTATGCAGTTTTATGAAACTAGCACATTTTATTTGTTAAATATAAATTCTGTAACTATGCCACAAGTCACCGCAAAACACGCATAGAACAAATTTTCTTTAGTGAAGAGTACAATAAAGGAAGTAGTGCATCACTTGACTACAAACATAATATTTGCAAAATGTGTTTTAGTATAAGATAGTAATAAAAGTAATAATTATTATAATAATAGTAATGATAATAGTAACAGTAGTGTTAAAGGTAATGGTGATAGTAATGGTAATGGTAATGATAATGGTAACAGTAGTGTTAAAGGTAATGGTGATAGCAATGATAATGGTAATGGTAAAGGTGATGGTAATGATAAGGCTTATGGTATCAACTATACTAACAAAAACACCTAGTATTGATTAATTTTAAATTATTTTCGGTCGAAATAATGAACCGTAGCTCCAATAGTTGGAAGTGAGCTAAAATTTGGAGGTCCTTACATTTGTGAAAATCAAAGATATGTTGTATTTCATGAGCCGTATGCAAAGGACCCGATTTTCGGCAAAATACTGGATCAAGTATAAAAGCAGTTTCATTAAATCTTAAAGAATAATTCTGATAAAGCTTTTACTATTGAGTTGGGGTGCATAGCTTTAAGCTGAGCTATATACTAATGACAATATAGTACAGCGTATGGAAATGTAGAGAATATTCTTACAAGTTTAAGCCCTTAACAGAGAAGACTTTCCTGCTGTGGAAGCAGTAAGCTATGACTATTGTGAATGTAGATCTCTCTCCACAGCGGACCCTTGCTCTCAGACATGCCTACATATGCACCATATATACAATAGAACTAAGAACTTTCGTCTTCGAAACCAGATTGGAAACTTGAGTGTGGAATTACAAAGGACTGCTATTTCATACATGACGGCAATAAGATAATTATATTATCACAATTGCATAATTTATGTTATAGTTGCAATTCCGAATATTTTTACGATCAAAGTTTAATCATCAAATTTTATCAGATCTTTATTCTAACAAGAATATAAACTATAATTAGTCGGGATGTTGCGTCAATTGTAATATCATTATATTGTTTTCACATAGTTCATAAAGTGATATGGCATACCTTTTACCCAAACGTTTTGAGACTCTTATCCTATGACATTGAATTCTAGTTCATCCGCACCCAGAACAAACATGAAATCCCGTCCAATTGTATCGTGAAACCAAAACTAATCACTCTTTACTTTTAAGGTGTGGTTATTACATAACATTGCTGTAATTGGTTGTCTAATCAGAAAAAAAGTTGCTTATCACTTTTTTCGAATTCGTCAACGCCTCAATTATAGTCAATCGCGGCATGTGACAAATTATATCAGACAGATAAATTTATTTTTTAATTAATCACAAAATATTGATAAATACATTCTTATACTGTACTTAATATATATGTAATTAAGGCCATGAATATTACACAACATAATAATTTTTTTGTATTTTTATGGTATCTTTTCACTGCAATGTCGGTCTCTTTCCCTTCTACGCAAACCCTCGAACGTATTTCTGGCTTAGTGTTTAATAATAGATTTTTGTGGCGCAATGCTTGAGCTTTTCTCTCTATTAACCGAATATAATACTAAATAGTTTTATTATATCTCTGACCTGTGATAGGGCTTTTTCGTGCCAGAAATCGAAACAGGTTTCAGTAAAGTATTGCCTACCTGATTTCGATTGTTATCTTATGAAAGAAAACTCCTTAAGGTGCCAGTAGGGTAATTTGGTCTGTTCTTTTGAAATTTTTTGCATAGAAATTTTTATTGTACATTGGAACTTTTGATATGTGAACATGAGGTATATCGTGGAGTGTATAAACTAATTTTTTCAGAATTTTTTGATGACATCTGTCGGAGTTTGGATCATTTCAAACACAAAAACCCAATTTATTCTTAAAAAGTACGTGAATGGTTATCGTTCCTACTAGAATAATAAAACAACGTTAATAATAATATAAAAGTAATTAACGTTTTTTTTTTTTTTTTTTTTTAATTTTTCCCCATGTTTTTTTTTACATAAATTTTGCCATAACATTGTCAATAAATTATAAAAAATTATGAATCCAATAGGACACGAACATTAAGAAAAAGTGCAATTCTGTTGAGTAGTTCGATCGGAATCATGGCGGCAAATTAAAAAAGTGTGTTTTGAAAAAACCGCGTTTAAAGTTTACGGTACTAGCAGGTGTGCACTCCGAGCGCTCCGAAAGTTGAGCGGTATTTTTGGGCCTTTTTCGAAACCTTTCAATGGTAGAGTGAGTTTCTACATTAATTCTAAGAGTATAAGGGAACGGAAAACGCAAAAACAAAAAAAAAAAAAATTGCAAAAAGAGTTTTAAAGAAAAAAGATTGTAGATGTTTATATTTGTTCGTTTTGATCGAAAAGACTGGATTACATATATTATTCTTGTAAGACGGATAAGCACAATAAATCTATTTAACTGTTTTCCTTATTTAGGTTTCGATTAGAAAAATTAAATATTATATACCATTATCGCAAATATGCAGATAGTTATTAGCGTGTATTTTGACTAATCTAGAGCATGTAGACCCCTAACATGAGAGAGAGTGTGTTCTCTCTCTTGCCACTGTTATACCACGAGTTAACTATCATTATTCTAATGAGACATAAAAGATATCTCTTTTAATTTCAAACTCTGAAAGCATTTTTGACAACTATTTATGTGGGTTTTTAAAGGGTTGCCTTTATTATACCCTGAACAGGGTATATAAAGTCTGTTACGAAGTTTGTAAGACCCAGAAGGAAGCTTCGGAGACCCTATAAAGTATAATATATATATAAATGATCAGTATGTTGAGCTGAGTCGGTTTGGCGATGTTCGCCTGTCTGTCTCTGTATATACCACCTAGTCCCTCAGTTTTTAAGATATCGTTTAGCCAAGATATATTCACGAAATTGAGTACAGATTATTTTCTAAGGCAACGATGTAATCTCCGAAAAAATTGTTCAGATCAGGTCACTACTGCACATAGCTGCCATACCAACTGGACCCATAGTTACTAAAATAAATTCACCTGTGAAGGGTATATTAGCTTCGGTGCAACAGAAGTTAACGTTTTTTTCTAGTTTATAAATGAAATTATAAAGGAAACGATTGAAGATATTTCTATACCCTCCTCAACCTCGCGGTAAAGTGCTCACTGTGGAGAAAGTTTATAAAACCTATGATTTTTATTTATTTTATTTATTTATGTAAATGAGAACTAATTATTAATAATTAATACACAAAGATTAAGCACTGGCTACCAAGCCAAGGTATCAGTCACTAAAGGGGGGACCAGCCAATTGGAAGAGTTATCATAGAACAATCAAGTGGTAAACACAACTTTTACTTGGATGACATTTGGTTCGAACGACATCACTCTTGTTGGTGTGAAAATTGTTGAAACTGCGGTAAATAAGTAAATTTGTCTGGAGATGTCACCTTACTGACACACTGAACTTATCAGGCGAGGAACTCTTTGCATCATCTCCTCTTAAATGAAATCAGGTATAAAGCTGCAAGTTATTCTCGTTGACAATAGCGACTTGCAGAAGTGATAAGTAGAGACTTCTGTTCATATTAAGACCATCACAGGTCAACTTGCACAAAACTATTAATATATGTATATCGAAAATTTGTAGATGCATACACATCCAACATCGACTCTAACTCATTTTTCTGAGATTTGACGACGAAACGTCACAAAAGAATGCTTGTATAAAAAAGAAGTGAAAAATATTACATCCACATCGTTTACAGTTTTCGATATATTAAAAATCTCTGAAACAGCCATCATCTAATATTGAATATATTTTTATATTATACCGAGAGTGGTAATAATACATAATGTAAAGCTCACAATAGGGCGGGTCGCATTTTCTTCGCATAAA